TTTTTCCCAGTTCTGTGTCCACACATTTCCCTCTTCCCAGGTCCTGGGTCCTTACAGGACCCTCTTCCAGGATTTAGGTCCTACTCTCATCTTACATCCCCACCCAAGTCCCTCCTCCAGGCTCTCCAACCCTGTCGGGTCACAGGCCTTCAGTCCCTGGATCCTCTCTCTTGGCCCAAGTTCCCCAAGTACCTGCTCCTACAGGGATGACGACAGGGACATCCCTGTCCCTGCCCTAAGGCCTCCAGCCCCATCACTCACATCGCCCCACCATCCCAGACACACTCACGTCCCACTTTCAAGTTCTCCTTATCTTCAGGTCCACCTTCCAGTCATTTCCCCTTCAGTTCCACATTCTCTATTCTCCCCAGGTCTTCCTTCCAGTCCCACTAACCCCCTCGGCTAGGCTGTATCCAGCCCCAGGGCCTCCTTATAACTAACTAGGTCCCACTCCCTCCAAGTCCCCACTCCCAAGGCCCTCAGGCTTTCTATCTCTGCTGAATTTGCCCTTCCGTGCCTTGCAGCCCCCACCCCAGGTTACCTACCCTTCCCGGTTCTCAGAATCCCGCGGGCCCACCCTCCACGCCCTGCAGGCGTCCCCGGCCAACTGGCGCCTCCCTCCCTCCCTCCCTCACCCAGCCAGGGCAAGACCGAAGCCGAAGCAGACAAGGTAGTTGGTTTGGTAGTAGAGAAGGTTGTTGATGACACGGTGGCACCATCGCTGCGGGTCGCAAGGATCCGGGGCCGCTAGACGCGCCGACCCCAAAACGAAGTCATCCAGGGCGCGTAGCGGTGGCAGCCGCACCTCCGACATCCTGCTAGTCGATGTAGCTGGACCAGCCAGAAGAGCAGCCGAACTACAACACCCGTTACACCCCGCGCTACCGCGGCGAACACCGGGAAATGGAGTCTGGGCGGGGCTTCTGCTACCCTATCCACCCAGGTGGACGACGCAGGCGCAAAACACGTGATCGGAAATACAAACGCCAGAACCGGAACTGCCGTGAAACTAAATATAGGCAGCGGAGCGTGGCATTCCCATCCACTCCCAGGTGGGGGCGCCAAGGGGCCCTGTTCCGGGTGGCGCTGGCAGCACAACAGTAGCCAGACATCCGGACTAAGCAGAGATGATGGCAGGGACTGTCAGAAGGACCGGAGCAGGATCCCACCTCCTTCCTGTCCAAGTAGGTCACACCTTTCCTGGACACGCCTGCAGTGCCTTTTCAGCCTCACCTACTCCAGGCCCCACCCCCGAGGTCCAGCCATAAATACTATTAATTTTTATTCAAATTCATCATATCAGTGATTGGCTCTTTCTGGGAAATTTTTTTTATCCCCACAGGTTGGATTAGGGCACTTCCTCTGGGGCCCTAGTACTTTTCTCCAGGTTGGGAGCCCCAGGGCATCTGCTGCCCCTTTGGGTCCCTGGCCTGGCCCTGTGGGCACACAGTCCTTAAGGACACAAGAAGTACTAGGGAGAAACGAGCTGTTTAGGCATTGCTCTAAGGAGTGGGAAGTGTGCACCTGCCCCATTAGTGCTTGCTGGCTGGTGGCTTTCAGCACTCCCACTCCCATAAATGCTTTGCACTTTGCCACTGCAGGTCCCTAGCACAACCCACGGGGTCCTTAAAAGTCATCATCATCACAGATGTCAAGGTACACATCGAAAGCCTCTCTGTTGCAGTTTCCATCAGGAGTGAAGACATATTTGTGGAAGGTCCCATCTACACAGATGGCTGGAGGAGGGGGGGGAAGATCAGTAAAAAAGTTAGAGGCTGCCAAAGCCACACACTTGAAATCAGGCATCCCATGGCTTACAAATCTCCTTCCAGGCCTTTGCCCGCATGCCACTCCCCTCACTGATAATGGAGTTGAACCACCCATTCTAGCTTCTTTATGCTTCCTATTCCCTAAAATTCTTTCAGGTCCAACCTGCAGGCCTTTGCCCATGCAATACCCCCAGTCAAGGGTTCCTCCCACTTACCAATGACAGAGTTGACATTCTTGGAAGTGTTGCGACCGAAGGCGCAGATGCAGGCCGACTCAGCAGGCACTGTGAAACTCGCCAGGCTCCACTGAGAGTCCACATATTGTCCAATCATAGGCCCGACTTTGCCCACTCGAGCTAGCCTGCAGGCAGTACTGACTAAGCCCAGGTAGGGTACATGGGCAGGGGTATGGGGACATGGCAGGGTGGGGCAGGGGGAGGGGGTACTCACGCAGAGCGGCGGTTGAGGCGGGTATCCTTGAGGGCAAAGATGTGGACCGTGCCCTTATCACTGGAAGCGCACAGGAAGGAAGAGTCATGGCTGAAGTTGATGCTGGAAGATAAACCAGCTATTATGCCTACCTGTCATATGGTGTGGAGTCGCTGGCCCACCATGCATACCCTGTGCTCACCAGTAGAGGGTGGCAGGATCAGTGCCCCGGCGTAGTTCCACCAGTTTTTCCTTGGACTGTGTGTCAAAAAGGCGAATAAGGGTGCCCTTCTGGGAGGCCGAGGCCACTACGGTGCCTGGCTGGTTCAGGGACACACAGGCCACGTCGCTCTGATGTGCGTTGATGGTAAATGGCGCAGATGAAGTGCCTGGCTTTGTGCTTGCCAGGTCCTATGATGGGAAGGAGCAGTTTGTGCTTGGGGTAGTATGGAGGGAAGGGTCCCAGAGTCTACAGGGAGAACTAGCCTACCCACCTATTCACTTGTGCCCACTGGACAACTCACCACAAGTTGCAGACTCCCACACTTGTGTCCTGGGAACACTAGTAGCTGTTTCTCCAGGCTGGGGCAGAGGTCACAGAGCCCTAGGGTGTGAGGATGAAGTAGGAGGGGCTGGTGAAGGGGAAGCAGTGGCCAGGCAGGGTCTCAGAATGGACAGAGCTGGATAAGGGCTGGACTTTAGCTTTCCATGATACATGTTACCTATAGAACCCTCAGGGTGCTGTCCTCAGCTGTGATCCCCACCAGTGAGGCATAGTCCCTTCTTCCCTACGCAGCTGTGGCAGCCCCAGGAGGCCCAAGGATCCCTGACACACCCACCTACGTGCTTACTATGTATGTTTGCTCTGCCATCTGGAGCACATGAGTGGGGCAGGGCTAAGGCTTGGGAAAGAGAACTGGCTAAGGGATGGAAAGATGAATAGATGGGGAGTACAGGAGTTGGCAACAAAAGTAGGTTTATAGCTGCATTGTGACGTTCTTTTGAGGAATCCTGTGTCTTGTAATTATCAGAACTTGCATGTCTTTTCTCATATGAACAACTGTAAAGCTACTTTTGCCCACCCCTGTATGTGTATCCCAGGCCATCTGAGTATCTCTGTGCAAAGACTCTTCATACCTCTTTTTCCCTGCTTCTCTCTCTGTGTACCCCTCCCATTTTCTCTTCATTTCTTCCCCTCCACCTCATCCCCTGCCTCCTGCCCTTATTCCTGCATATCTGGGCCTTCTTACCCTTTGGGTTATCCCGGGTGTCGAACTCAAACAGCTTCCGGGGATTGTCAGGGAAGGAGTACACATAGATGCGGTTCCTCAGCACAATCACAATTCTGTAGGCATCACATAACACACAACAGCCATGAGGGGAGGGCAGATGTTCAGGCAGAACTAACCCTCTCACCTGCTATGGGGACCTCCTACCTCCCCCACCCCCAGTCCTCCTCAGGCTCACTTGTCATGGCGCATGCGCACAGCCAGCACTGCCTTGGTGAAGGTGAACTCCAGCACCAGCTTGTCCTTGGAGTCCTTGCCCTCCCGGGCATCATCCCAGATCAGCACTGAGATCTCTGAGAACTTGGGACTGCTACCACCACCCACCAGGGCCAGCAGGTTGGAGCGGTACAGCATTTCCACCAGGCCCATGCTGCCCACCTGCTCATGGTCTGGACAAGGACCAGGGTGTCAGCAAGGGTGAAAGCCAATGTCCGGCCCAGCCCTTCTACCCACTGCCTCTTCCCCACCGATGGCTCACCCAGGTGCCCCTTCTCCATCAATGGTTCCACGTTGTAGATGCGTACGCCTGTCTCCATGGCACAGCAAAAGCAGCCTAGGGAATGGGAGGAATCCAGGCTGCCTCAAAGGATGCCCACGTGGGAAGCTAGGACAGGCTGCTTAACACCCACCTCTAAGAACTCAAACAGCTTCCGGGGATTGTCAGGGAAGGAGTACACATAGATGCGGTTCCTCAGCACAATCACAATTCTGTAGGCATCACATAACACACAACAGCCATGAGGGGAGGGCAGATGTTCAGGCAGAACTAACCCTCTCACCTGCTATGGGGACCTCCTACCTCCCCCACCCCCAGTCCTCCTCAGGCTCACTTGTCATGGCGCATGCGCACAGCCAGCACTGCCTTGGTGAAGGTGAACTCCAGCACCAGCTTGTCCTTGGAGTCCTTGCCCTCCCGGGCATCATCCCAGATCAGCACTGCTGGGCAGTTGGGTGCATTTTGGGGGCCAAGGTTTAAGCTGAGGGACAGCCCTGCTGATACAAAACCCACCCCTACTCCCCAAGGGACTTCCACCCATTTGTTTAACCTCTCACTAACACCCAATGTGAGCCTCACACAGCATGAGAACTGCTACACCCATTCACAAGTGAGGAAACTGAGGCTTGAAGGGATTGAGTATTCACTCAAGGACCTCACAGCCCATCAGAAAGCAAGCTGGGACTTAATCCTGTCACTATTCCTGCCTCTAGGGTCCTAGTCCCTATACTCCCAAGATTTGTGAGAAATCCTTGGCTCCCTGACTTGCCTAGGGCAAGTCTCTTGCCATGTCCCAGTGGGATCAACAAAAATCCCTTTAAAACAATATGGCACTTGAGACTCAAGGCAAGTGAGCATTGGGGAGATAGCTTCAAGATATTCAGACCTAGCCTGGCCAGTGTGGCTCAGTGGTTGAGCATTGACTCAGAAACCAAGAGGTCAACAATTCGATTCCCAGTCAGGACACATGCTGGGGTTGTGGGCTCAATCACCAGTAGGGGGCGTGCGGGAGGCAGCAGATCAATGATGTTTTTCTCTCATCGATGTTTCTATCTATCCCTCTCCTTTCCTCTCTCTCTGAAGATAAATAAAAACATATACATAAAAAATTATGTTAAAACCTATTGGTTAGATAGGTTGCTCAATCTCTCTGGTCCTCAGTTTCTTCATCTGTAGAAATGGGATATTGATACTTCCTACCACATATAGAGTTATGGTGAGGGTTAAATGAGTTAATACACATAAAGTGCTTAGAACAGTACCAGGCTCACAACAAGTACCCTATAGGTAAAGACATGGTGTACAGGAGACATTCAATTAATGTTTGTTAAATTAAGACAAAACATCAAGCTTCTTAAGCTATGAGTCATGACTTCTAAGCTGTAGGCCTCACTGTTAGACTTTAAGGTGCTCTGACGTCTTCATCTGCCAGTGCCTTGGAGTGCCTGGAGGGGGCCACGATTCCAGGGAATCTGGGCCAAGGGCGGATGAGATGAGGGTACTTACCTGAGATCTCTGAGAACTTGGGACTGCTACCACCACCCACCAGGGCCAGCAGGTTGGAGCGGTACAGCATTTCCACCAGGCCCATGCTGCCCACCTGCTCATGGTCTGGACAAGGACCAGGGTGTCAGCAAGGGTGAAAGCCAATGTCCGGCCCAGCCCTTCTACCCACTGCCTCTTCCCCACCGATGGCTCACCCAGGTGCCCCTTCTCCATCAATGGTTCCACGTTGTAGATGCGTACGCCTGTCTCCATGGCACAGCAAAAGCAGCCTAGGGAATGGGAGGAATCCAGGCTGCCTCAAAGGATGCCCACGTGGGAAGCTAGGACAGGCTGCTTAACACCCACCTCTAA